GAATTCATACTGATTCCTCCAGTTCCAATCAACATCATAGGGTTTATTCTAGATTTCTCCTTTTCCAAATCTGTAATTCCCTTCTTCAACTGTGAGAACCCTGGCTTTTGTTATTTTCAGTGTATTTATTTTTTGAAATGATCCCTCCATGTGTAAATTATCTCCGTGCACCATAGCATTCCCTCTCTCCTATCCTGCACAATGCTTACCTTGCTCAGCCCTACCTACTGACTTCTGGAAGTTTAGCTCAAGAAATAGGAAGAAGTGCAGAAAGATCTGTGTACAACGATGTTCATTAAAGCATTCCTTCTTAATAGACAAGAAATGGAAACAGCTTAATTAACAAATAAAAGATTGTTAAAGGGGTAGGGAGGTAATTCATAACCCATATAATAGGATAATTCTGCAGCTATTAAGAGTAATGACAAGTGTATGTATTGATATGGAAAAACACTTGCTATGTAATTCAAACAAAGCAGGACATACAACAACCGCTATAGGATACCACTGTTTAAAAAAATGCACATATGTAGGAAAAACACTGGAAGGACATATGCAAAAAGATTTTGTGATTATCTCTGGGTCTATCTATGTATGTGCACTTCAGTGTTTTTAAGAGTTTTCTGTAGTAACAGTTTTATTTCTGTAAAAGGGAGAAATAAGTATCATTTCAAAGACTGGAAGAGCTGAAATTACAGATGACTGTCAGATGGACTGATAGTGAATACAGGATCAGAGGTCAGCTGCTTGTCTGTGCAGAGACATTAAGGTGCACATTGAACTATTACAGATGCCTTACTCTGCCATGATGATGAGCTGGAAGGCCGCCGGATCGCCTTCATTCTTTACCTGGTCCCTCCCTGGGACAGGAGCTTGGGAGGCACCCTGGACCTGTACAACGTTGATGGTAGGGCAAGTGTGCACTCTTCAACTCCAACAGCCATTTCTGAGTTCTTGTACATGATATCTCTATTCCTCAAAAGAGATGAAAGCCATTCAGTATAGAGACTACTGCAGGAAGAATTAATGCCAGCCCTGACAACTACCCCTTAAAACTGTACTTGAAATAATCATCATTCCAGAGATAAATTAGATTCGACTTAAGATGAGAAATCGTCAGACTCTGCTTCTGAGTACTGGGTATGGAGAGATAGCATGTAAAGCTGCCCATGGCTATGAGTCTGCCAGGTCTGGTCCATTTGACAGGAAGTCAGGGTTTATTTTTAATGACTTAAACCTGAGGTTGACTCCAGAAAACTTTCAGAACTTGTTCCAGCCCTCATCCTAATGGATGGATGGTGTGGTAAGAACAGATGTCAACAAGTGAATAACAGAACTAACAAGTGAATGAAACAGATTGAAGTGGGTGGTATTTGGGGATCTGAAGGGTACGTTTAGATACCCTTAGAAATTGGGGACTTCTCAAGGTGGAATGAGAGTCTGGAAGCAGTAAATGATGACACCACATTTATGGATGTGTTCTCTCCTGGCACAGAGCACTCTCAGCCGAAGCACATCGTCAAGTCTCTAATCCCTTCATGGAACACACTGGTTTTCTTTGAAGTGTCTCCAGTATCCTTTCACCAGGTAAAGATTGTAAGCCACAAATATAGCTTTTTAGTCACCCATTATTTAAAGTGGCAACTTCCTTTTGGACTTAACTGGCCAGGTTGTTTTCACACCTAACATGAAGGATCCTAAAATTAGTGTGGCTGGTAATCTGGTTCCTTATGCTTTGTGCCACTCTTGTCCTTTCAGGTGTCTGAAGTCCTATCTGAAGAAAAGTCACGTTTGTCTATAAGTGGATGGTTTCATGGTCCTTCACTGACCAGGCCTCCCAGCTACTTTGAACCTCTAATACCTCGGAGCCCTCACATCCCGCAAGATGTAAGGATCAATTCCTGTTGCCGCCTTCTTATCTTAGAAGCTGTAGCATCATCATTTGTCTTTCTGGTTTTAAAAGTGGCTGTTCTTGGTCATGAAACTAGACATTGAGCTTGCCTTTCCACTTCTCTTAAATTTCTGATAGTGTCTTTCTTAGGCAAAGTTTTCCAGCACTTTATGTTTATTAGCAAGAAGAAAATTATAAAATAAGGATTTGCATATATTTTACTGGTGTGAAATGATGTAGGAACAAAAGCAATAGGAATTACTAACTCACCTTTTCCATCTGTGGCTTCTTTGTAAGCATGAAATTTTGTATGATTGGATCAACCCTACTTATCTGGACATGGATTACCAAGCTCAAATTCAACAAGAGTTTGAAGAACAGTCTGAAATTCTCCTAAAAGAGTTCCTTAAGGTAGGTCAGCATACCCTGTCCTTTGTATCTTGTTTGGCATGCAGTCTTCTTCTTGGGTAGGTGACTAGGCTTCACTAAGAGACTTTTGGGTATTTTTTATTTGTTTTGTTCATGTTTATGTCATCCTGTTTTTCAAAATATAGAAATGTTGCCAGTAGCTGACACTGGTAGCAGTTGTATGCTTAGGGGGTTAAGAATCCCTTGGGCATTCCTCACTTCCCTAGAATCTTAATGGTACACACACACACAGAAGCTTCTACACTGAGAGAGAACTGTGTGTAGTTCCCTTCCTATCCATTGGATGAATATGGTGCTTACTGTTACTTTCAATAATAGACAGTTATGATTCATCAACACCCATTAATGAATGTTTGACAATGGCGAGGCAGCACGTTATATGGAGAGAGAGCTAGATCAGCAGTCAGAAGCCCTTATGTCCTAGCTCTGTAGTTTTACTAACCTGAGAAAACCACGAAATCTCTTCAATTTTTATTTCATCATCAAACTGAGATAATACCTGCTTTGCCCATCCTGAAGAGTTGTTGTGGGGCCAAGCGGGATCACATAAATACTGATATGGTGCTTCACAACTGACCCTGGGTCCTGTGCAATCACAGTCCTAAGAGCTGTTCGTCCATGAAGAAAGGTCAAGACACTACATGTTATCTCTCTCTCTTGGAATTTTGTAGCTGACGTTAACATCGTAAAGAATTTTAAAAGTATTATAGTAAATAAACTTGTTTTACCCTATTTAATTCAGTTTTCCTAAACTATGCTTTGGGATCTTTTTCAAATTTTATAGCTGGTAGGAGTACTGTTTTCAGAACACTCCTCGGGAAACTGTATTAAACAAGTACATATAAAGCTTCCTGTGGAGAATATTTCAGGAGACTGATCAGCTTCTTGTGCTGTGCTTGGCTTTTTAAAATTTAGAATACTGATTAAATAGAGAATGAGCTGAGGCCTAGGACCTGTATTGTTACACAGAGATTTCCATTGTAATGACACTGAGTGTTAGGCAGTTTAATTTTCTTCCCTCACATCTTGTGAATTTTAGAGTCTATATTTATCTTCGGTTTATAAATGGAGGAATTTGAGAGGTTTAGGAACTTGACTGAAATACACAACTACTTAAGGAAATGGCCCAAATTGACACTCAGGTCTCCTGGCTAAAGTATGCAGATGATGTAGCCAGTCTGCTTGGGACTGGGGGTTCTGTTGCGAAAGGAGTGAAAGTCATGCGGCTTTTTAGGAATCAGCCAGAAGGGGTCTATGGCTGCTGTACCTGCAGGACCAGGGTGGGATCACAGGCAATTGGCTAACTGTTTCTGTTTGCTCATTTTCTAGCCTGAAAAATTTGCAGCAGTCTGTGGGGCTTTGGAGAAGGGAGATGTGAAATGGAGCACCCAAGGTCCCCCTAACAGAAGGTAGAACCCATCACCCCCACCCTGTGTTTCCACAATCAACACCAGCCTGTTTCTCTGTGGGCTCACCTCCATGGTGGGACACCTGCTCACTCATGTCCACTCCCCGGGGCATCCAGCAACGGGCTCCTAACCAAAGTGTGCTTTAGCAAGCTATGGAAGATTGAGGGAGAGTGGCACAAAACGTAATGATCAGCTTTTCTTAGTAGTTTTACCCATAGCTTTCATGAACAACTTGGCATTGCTGCTTTCCAGGTTTTATGAGAAAGCTGAAGAAAGCATGCTTCCTGACACACTAAAGGACTGCATGGAATTATTTCGCTCTGAGGCGCTGTTCTTGCTGCTCTCCAACTTCACGGGCCTGAAACTTCACTTCTTGGCCTGTTCAGAAGATGAAATGGAAGACATAAAAGAGGGAGAAACAGGCTCTGCTGCTGAGAACATTGAAGAAGGGACTAGCCATGGCTCCTCTGAACCAGGGAATAATCAGGCTGCTGTCAGCAACAACAGCCAGCAGAGCAGTAAACAGACAGGCCTAGAGGAAGATGAAGCAAAGAAAGGTAAGCCGTTGTGATTTGTCCTTACTCTCCATTAAGTATTCACTATTCAGTCAGTCATTTATTCAACAAATATTTCTTGAGCATCTACTCTATGTGAGGTCCTATTTTAAGAGTGGAAAACAAAACAGACAAGGTCTCTGGTATCCCGAAGCTTATGTTCTAGTAGGAGAGGACAGAGATTGAATGTATACACAGACATGCTCTGCAGAAAAGTGTAATAAGCTTGTGTGCTGAGCAGTGGCCAAGCAGCCCTTAGGTAGATGGACAGTCTGGAAAAGCCCATGTGCAGAGCTGTTGTCTAAGCTCAGATCTGAATGACAACATCTGTGGAAGAGCATTCTAGGTAGGAAGAACCGCTATTACATTTTTTTAGGCTACAGTAGTGTAAATGGTAGAAATATGACTGGCTTCACCCAAAATTAATCTAAAACACAGCAACATAACAAAGAGGACAGTGAGCTGCTTATTTCTGCAAAGGACCAGTAACAGCCTAAGAAAAACTTGCTGGAATTTGGACAAATAGGGAGAAGGAAATTATTAAAAGTAGATGAAGTTTAATCATTCATGATGCAATTTATTTTTGACAGCTAAATGTATAGTCCATCTGGAATTTATTATAAAGAGAGAACTACAAAGTTGGCATTTTCCCCCAAGTAGACATGCTTTGTTTCTGACAGTCATTATCAGGCTGGTTTGATGGAGCAGTAGGCCAGCTGAAGGTTTATCGGAATGGTTTCTCTTTAGTGCTGTGTCATTCCTAATTATCATTTCCTTACAATCTAGCAGTGGTATCAAGGTGACTTAAAAAATTTTCTGGCCTTCTGTTGTTTTTTCTTAGAATCAAGTGTTCCCACATGTCAGGGTGAACTGAGGTGTTGGAAGACTGGTCACTACACTTTAATCCATGACAATAGCAAGACTGAATTTGCCCTGGACTTACTTCTCTACTGTGGCTGTGAAGGTAAGAGGGAGAAAAGAAGTGAAGAGGCTCCTTAAGAAAGGTAGGTCTCTCCTAAGTAACCCTCTCCAACTGAGCCAGCTCAGATTTTGCCTTGGCCAGGATCTTAGATCACAGGAACTCCATGTTGGAGGGGATCTTAGGATCACGAATTTCAGTCTCCCAACTCAATAGGATTTATATCTGTGACTAAGGCATGGGAGATGGAACAGACCATAATATCCCTCCAAGCAATCCCCCAGACCTACAGCCTATATGTAATTGTCCTTCCAGGTATAATTGACATTTAACTCTCAGTTTTCAGTTCCTACATAGTGTTGACTGAATGGTGAACTCAGGTTCATAAGTCATAAATTTAGTTACTATACTGAACTCCCAGGTCCTCTAGTTTTAAGCAGCAAGGAATCAGTGCTATAAGTGGATGATGTAATTCTTGCAATCAGAGCTTTCTGAATGTGGTTTTTTTCCTTTTGTAAGGCTGGGAACCAGAGTATGGTGGCTTTACTTCCTACATTACCAAGGGTGAGGATGAAGAGGTAAGTTGCTTGTCATAGTACGTTATCCTTTTTAGTTTTCAAAGAAGCTGTCATTCTTTAGAGATCCAATTTATATGACCTTCTGCCAGTGTCTTTAGCTGATAAATCCATGTTGGTCTGCTTGGCAGTGGTTCCAGTTTCTAGTAGAAAGTACTCAGCATGGAATGAAGATGCTAAAGGTTAATCATTCTGCATTCATTCTACCCTACTGAGAAATTCCAAATAAATTAAAAGCCATATAGTACATTCCCATGAATCTTTAAATGTAGTAAGAAATAAATGGACTCACTGGGCAAAACCTCTCTGGGTATATATTGGAATGTCTCTATTGTCAGAAAATGTCCTGAGAGCCAGAGCTATAGCGCTCTAGTAAAAAATATTTTAAAGGCTCCTCTATCACCAGTCTAAGTACTTGACATGGAAACTTGTCTGTTAAGTGATGAGTTGAATCCCTGAAGAATTGAGAAGAAGCCCTGTGTTCTAATGTGTCATTGTGTTTGCCTATTTCAGCTGCTAACAGTGAATCCAGAAAACAATTCTTTGGCATTGGTGTACAGAGATAGAGAGACTCTGAAATTTGTCAAGCATATTAACCACCGAAGTCTGGAACAGAAGAAAACCTTCCCGAATAGAACAGGTTTCTGGGACTTTTCATTTGTCTATTATGAATGACAGGGCTGGACAAAGCTGAAAAAGAGACCCTCCCTCAGTCCTGGGAAGTCTGGAGGAGCTAGGCATCGAGTGAAGGAGAGCTGCAAGGCGACCTGTGACACTGTTCTTAAGACTAGGTGTAGTCGTCCTTAAATAGGGCTTATGATGATTGTCCTCAGTCCAGACCTTGAGCTTGGAGCTAGGTACTGATCTCAATTTTTGAAAAGAAGGCTTTTTGTCTTTTTCTTTAACATTTAGGTCTTCATTCTCCATATTGACTTCTTCAGTGAATTTTTAAAATTTTTTGTGTGATAAAATATACATGACATAAAATGTACCATTTTAACCATTTTTAAGTGTATAGTTCAGTGGCATTAAGTACATTCACATTCTTGGGCAACCATCGCCACCATCCATCTCCAGCACTTTTCCATCTTCCAAACTGAAACTCTGTTCCCGTTAAATAGTAAATCCCACAGCTCCCGACAACTGCCATTCTACTTTCTGTCTCTGAATTGACTACTCATATTCCTCACATAATTGGAATCACACACTATTTGTCTTTTTGTGACTGGCTTATTTCACTTAGTATAAAGTCTTCAAGGTTCATCCATGCTTCCAGTGATTTTTTTTTAGTATTCATAAATGACTGCAGATTCTGCCCTTCTTGATCACACTGCCTTAGAAAATTACAGAACCTTACATACTGTTCTTGCTCAGCCTGTTACACCTTGTCCCATTGGCTGTGGCTTTGTTCCACTGACTCTCCCAGTCCAGTGGACTTACGTGATGTGTAGTAGTATTCCCTTGGGAAAGGCCTGGTCTAAAACCACAGGGCCCCAAGAAACTTCTGGTTGAGAAAGGTGGTGGCTGCTGGTGCCACAGGTAGTCATTCGCAGGTGTCCACTGCTTTTCCATCCTGTTGCAGCTGCCATGTAATTAAATGTTTCTAGCCTCACATGTGGCTTTCATTTTTCTAAATACTGTAGGGCCAACTATAAAACTAGTTGCTTGTCTTTTCTGTGGTTTTAATAGACTGAATGCTAAAAGCCACATCAGAATGCCAAGAGGCTGTCCATTTTGTTACCTTTTCCTCTGAACTGTACTGAGCCAGGGGAGGTGGGGATGGCGGTGGGGGCGTATCATAACCTGGGTGGGTGTAGGGGTCATTGCATCTTCAGTTGAAAGATGTTCTCATTACATTCCAATGCCGTCTCCCTCTTTTTCTTTTTTATATTTATTACTAGCTATTGCAGTAGCTTTTATTTTGAGTTTTACTAATAGGAAAAGCACAGGGCTTTTACCTTCTTTTAATACCCTAAAACCTTGAATACTCTTTTCTGAAGTTTACACTTAAATGAAGAACATGAGTTTCATTGTCTTTTAGGTTTATGGTTTCAAATTTTTTTCACTTTGCTTCCCTGTCAGTTTTACCATACATGCCCTTAGATGGGTATTTATCTGTAAGTTCTACATATGTACTAGTATTCAGTATTGTTATAAAGCAAACACTAATTTTTGAAGGATGAGATAAAAAGAAATATCTAGAACTAGTTTTAATATTGTCTTCCCATACCCACATGGTAATGGACCATTTTACATTCATACTATTTTGGAGACCACAATTTTTAACCATAGTGTAGTGACACTCAAGTGGAATTACAGCTACTGTTACTAATGGTTTAAATTTCAAAGCTTGACTTTAAGTTCCTGTAGACTGAACGTCATCCCTATGTATTACTTTCACTCACTCACTTTCTGATGTGTTTCATAAGAAAGAGAGGTGGGTGAGGTTCTAGTTAACACGCTGTCAGTGGCGTAACCCCAGGAGGGCCAGGAAAAAGTGCTGGGCATGTGCAACTTTCATATGTGCCAAGCTTGGAAAATAATTTGAGACTTGTGGCTATAGGTAACATATAAGGGGCCACTCAACTCCTCTAATTCTGGAGCACTGAGTTGAAATCTTACACAATTGTTAAGATGTGCTTATTAGTTTCTCTGACATCTTAATATGTTTATCATGTTTATCAACACTGCAGAATCTTTCATGCACTACAAAAAAGGGTTTTGGTGTCCAAGGGAGAGACTCCCTAGAGCCAGACTCTGATGTTGCTGTCAGTTACATCATCTACAGCAGCGACTCTTACAGACTATGAAGAATGGTGTAACTTGCAGGTCATTTTCTTGGACTGAGGATATCCAGTAATGGAGAAGTTGCTTTTCTTTAGTACTTCATTCTTCATTTTGATTTTTAGGGTCTGGAACCAATGTCAACAACTATTAAGTGGCAAAAGAGGAATTAAACATGGACATCTTTTTTATACTTTCAGATAAAAGCTGTGGTTTTCACCTATATAATATATGGCATCTTCTCTATTAATTCTTAGTAGTGAACCTCTAATTCTTATTCCTTTTAGTAAAGGGAAATTTTTCCCCAAAAAAGGAATAGCTTTACAGTTCTCCTGATTATATAAATAGTACATGTCCATTCTGATAGAGGTCATCTGGAATTCCACCATCCTGCGACAACCACTGTGGTGCTTTGTGATGTGGCATCATAGGTGTACTGCACTACAGTTCCCAGAATTCCCTTCCGTTTCCAATTAGGATGAGCCACAGATTCCTGTGCGAGATAGGGAGGGCCAGAATGAGGCAGTGGCCACTTTGTAGCTCACACATTGTCACATACCTACTGGCTCACCTCTTGGCGTGAATCAGCATCTGTGCCTGCAAGTGTTCCTCCTTCACCTGGATCTTCCTTCAACAACTGTGATAAAGGGTCTCCATTTCTGCAGGATGCCCACACAACCAAGGTCAGAGGAAAGAACTAACACAGGTTTTACTATGTCATCATGGGCTACAGCTCATGCTGGTGGGTTCCAGTTTGTTCTTACCAACTTTACACCCTTTTGGGCTGCCTGCCATATGGGCATCAAGTTCCAGCATCATCAGACTGAACACAACTTACAGAGACTGCTTTCCCACGTCCCACAGATGTGTTAACATCAAATTACCATAACAAATCCCTTTATATGTTAACAATGATGGAAATTAACATTTTCATAAGGTTATTTTGAGGGCATGTTAGCATTTCTATTGGGAGGAAAATTTTTAAATGTTTAAGGAAGAACCCCATGATAATCTAACAGCATCCTTCATATTAAACATGTAGAAAATAAACGCTAGAAGAGAAAGGCTGTTGGTTTTGAACCTGGCTTTTCTCCTGCTTATAATGCCTCCCAAACTCCACTGAATATGGTGGTTTCGTCCTGCAGAATATAGAAAAAAAATCAAGGCTTGGGCTACTTCTCCCAGACCAGTATTTCTACAGCAAGAAGTTCTGGCTGCAGTGTCTCTTCAGTACCTTTATATACTTAGCGCTAAACCTGAGATGGTACAAACCCTGTTAAAGAGTCCTTGGTAGAGGGTAACACCAAGGCAGGCTCGCTAGCCCTTACTGCACTGGATACTTCTACAAAAACAGATGATTCCTTCTCTGATGGATACAAAGTCAGTCCACATAGACAATTTTGAAAACTACTTGGAAATTGTCCATGTGGCATCATTTTAGGAAAGCAGATTTCTGTACTGTACAAAGAAAAGATGACCCAGGAACTAGAAGATATAGTGTGGGCAGGGGCCAGATGGGAAAGAGACAAAATGCAAAACAGGCGGCAGTGGGTGTCTACTGTATTTTAGTTTCAAAGTGAAATTGAAGATAATTTAGTTCTATGATTACAGGACTCTATGCTGGCAGATTTGTAACCACTAGTTATAAAATTTTAAAACATTAATCATGTTGAAATTCTGTAAAGAACTTCTAAGACTGCGTAATAGTTTTAAAGTTCCTAGTTCTCTGACATCTGAAGCTACTGACAGGCTTACTGAGGACAGACAATCCCATGAGAACACATGCTTTCTATGCTCAAGGCATTGGCTCACCACCATGGGATGATAAAGCTGATTAAGATGCAGCCCCTGTTCTCACTTAATAGGGATTAAGATTTATATAAACACAGAATATAATAAAGGTTATGGAATAGACATGGGAGAGGAATTTGAGCTGAGCCTTGATGTATTTGGATAGGCAGACATGGTGGCAAATCATAAAAACAATACTGTCTAAACTACTGAGTACCAGAATTTGGGGCTCAGGGGGCAGGCAAGGTGACTTTTCTTTTTTTCTGAGTGAAAACACTGAATTTAATGTGGTATTGGGTTAAAGTGACTTTTTTAAATGGATACTCAAAAACTAACTAGAGCTTTCTCCCAGAGATTAGTATCTGCAATATTAGCTTTTAAATGAAGCAGTGTTCACTTACAGCTTCAATAGAAGTCAATAAAATAGAGCTGTAACTTGTAGGAGGCACTCAGATTCTATCAAGATAAAAAATATCGCAACAAAATAGAGAAGGAACTTATGACCAGTTTTTCTCATCCTTAAGCTGGTGACTTCTGAAAGGGGAAAAAAGATGGTAAAATGTTTTATGAACATTGTCCTCTCATTCAGTCTTTACCTGCTTGGGAACAGTTTGTAATAGTGCAAAGGTCATTGACTACTTGGTTTTAAATCTCCACACCATAACTTACCAAGCCATAGAGCCCTGTAGAAAACATTTTGCCTGAGCTCAGAAACAGCTCAGAGTTACTACTATCAAGAGGATCAAATTAATGGGAAAGTAAAGCTAGTTGTAACCTATAAATGAGGACTTTTCAGTGATATCCCTTCAAGGCTTGTCATGAATATTTTTACATCTAAGGTGATTTCCTGGCTGAAGAACAACAGAATGACCTTTGATGAGATAATTCAGAGTTCCTAAAAATGAACAGTGCCATACAATTT